TCGCAGGAGGAGGAGGAGCAGTGCATTTAGCTAGTGTGCCTAAAGCAGCGAATGCTTTAAAAATGACATGTACATATTTAGTCTTTTCTGTTCTTTTTTTCTTACTTTAGATCAGTTTATTACAAAAAGCTAAATATATTCACATTGAATTAACAAGCATTACATGATCAAATTCACCTTTATGATGCCAGTTTTAAGAATTCTTGCATGAATGCAGAATGGGATTTAACAATCTGGGGATGTGCTTTTTGTCATTTGTGCTGTTAAAATGCTTTCATTAGACTCAAAAGTGGCTTGATCTTTTTTTTTTTTTAAGTTGTGGCTTACAAGATACTTACAGTAATGTTCATAAACCGAGACACTTGAATAGAGACCCAGATGACTGAACTATTCACCACAAATGTTTTAATTACAGCAGCTTCCTACAATCACAATGAGTTAATCTTAGACACAAACACAGTACATACAACTGTTATGCTGCTAACTTTACCTCACAAGTTGAAAAAGCTTAAAAAAAAAAAAATCAAGACAAACTCAGTCAAAATGCAAACAGGCATCATGAATACACGGAGTGTGCGACTACCTGCAGGAGATCGTAATGACAAGAACTGTGTGTTTTGACATTTCGGTCTTTTTTCACAGATTTTAAATGTTGTTTTGTTCAGTTTTTACAGACTACGGCACAAATGTAAATGCAGGAAACATTTTGAACTGTATGTTGACCGTTCAGATGAAAAGAAAACTATTACTACAAAAATGTGCTACAATATACAAGAATAAAAGAACACCTGACTGATTAAAGTACATCGGTTTACAGGGCACCTCATCCTCTAGACCAGTGGTTTTGGTGTCTCTCTTATCTTGGAGCAGGGGTGGCGAACGTCGGTCCTGGAGAGCCGCAGCCCTGCTGAGTTTTGCTTCAACCCTAATCAAACACACCTGAACAAGCTAATCAAGGTCTGAAGGGTTACTAGAAAGCTACAGGCAGGTGAGTTTTACTTAGGGTTGGAGCTGTACTCTGCAGGGCTGCGGCTCTCCAGGACCGGAGTTCGCCACCGCTGTCTTGGAGTCTTCACTAATGAGCTGATGATTTGAATCAGGTGTGTTTGAATAGGGAGACATCTAAAATGTGCAGTGTTGGGGGTTCTCCAGGATCAGGATTGGGAACCACTGCTCTAGACAATTTTACTGAAAGGTACACTAATGTATTGTAGAGATGTCTGGGTGAACTAAAACGCATGTAATCGTAAAACCATTTGTTTGTTTTTTTGGAGAATAAGTAGTATGGACAATATGAAGAGATTGAGCTCTCTTGCGTTGAAGTTCACAGATATAAATTGAGATGATTTAATTCGGCTACATGATCACACTGCATAGCAGTGCAAGCGCAAATGCACTTTAAACCACAGTGATGTCAGGATATTTGCATACAGTGTGATATACTAAAACAGCGCTGCCCAAACGTAGTCCTGGAGGGCCGGTGTCCTGCAGAGTTTAGCTCCAACTTGCCTCGACACACCTGCCAGGAAGCTTCTAGTATTCCTAGTAAGTCCTTGATTAGCTGCTTCAGGTGTGTTTAATTAGGGTTGGAGCTAAACTCTGCAGGACTCCGGCCCTCCAGGACTGAGTTTGGGCACCCCTGTGCTAAAACATCTCAAAGAACTGAATATTGCTGCTACTATTAATCCTATAGATCCATTTTATGATAAACAAAGCTCAAAAAAGTGATGCGAGATAACAAACAGTCAAATATATTTAAATATCAAAAAAATGATAAGGTTTTTACCTCTAAATCAGTGGTTCCCAACCCTGGTCCTGGAGGCACCCCAACACTGCACATTTTGCATGTCTCCTTGCCTGTTACAAGGCCAAGATGGTTTGACAGGGATTCCAGGTCCACAAGGTCCAGCAGGATTCCCTGGGCCCCCTGGACATGATGGATTCCCTGGACTCCCTGGACCTCCAGGAATAAGTCGAGAATTTTCTTCCTCCAATATGACAGCGATCATGGACTACATCAGAGGCAAGATGGAACTTGTTAAAATTAAAAAAAAAATATGCATGGTTTTAATTACAATTGACTGTTTCTACAGAAAACCATGTGATTGGACCACCAGGTGTACCAGGGCAGAAAGGGGAGCCCGGATATCCTGGACCACCAGGACCGAAAGGTACATGTGATGTTCATGTCAGGGTCAGCAAAGCAAGCACACCTAGTTACCTTTAATATCTGTGTGAAGATACTAGGAAGTGACATGTCATGACTTAACAGTCCTGTTTACAAAGAGACAAATCCATACAAATTACATACAAATCAAAATTAGTATACTTTTATAGTAAGTAAAATGCCTTTTAGTATAATTGTAAAAATGTTCCCCCTTCAGATTGTGGACATGTATTTTGTCTTATTTTTATTAAGTACATGTAATAATAACTTTTATATTATTAGTAATATTTCAAGACGAGCACTTGCTGGACTGAAGCAACTTTTTTTTTTTTTTTAGAAAAAACGTTAAAATGTATCAAATATGATACATTAGTCTTTTGACGAAAGTTTATTTTTAATCTGTCAATCATCATTGTATTACGTTTTGATCCCTCACAATAAAAACTACAGAGCTTTGATTGTAAAACGAAGCATTTAAAATAATAGATACATAATTAAGGGATATAGAGTGACGATATGCATTTTATGAAATAGAAGTAGTCGGTTATAAAGTTCTCACTGATTTACATTACAAGCTATACCTGAATTTCATCATACTTTTTGTCCGTATAAACATCAGCAACAGCATAACTGCTCAAATCTCCTCTACCTCGTTTCATGTTTTTCTACAATGCATGCAGGTGACAGAGGATTCCAAGGTCAACCAGGCTTCCCAGGAATGAGAGGACAAAAGGGAGAGAAGGGTATGTATCAGTTTACAAAATACATGAATGATCATAACGTTTTTTTCATGATACTGTCAAAACAAGCCTTTTTTCTCTACAGGTGAGGCTTCATATGTCACTCGCAGGAGGAGGAGGAGCAGTGCATTTAGCTAGTGTGCCTAAAGCAGCGAATGCTTTAAAAATGACATGTACATATTTAGTCTTTTCTGTTCTTTTTTTCTTACTTTAGATCAGTTTATTACAAAAAGCTAAATATATTCACATTGAATTAACAAGCATTACATGATCAAATTCACCTTTATGATGCCAGTTTTAAGAATTCTTGCATGAATGCAGAATGGGATTTAACAATCTGGGGATGTGCTTTTTGTCATTTGTGCTGTTAAAATGCTTTCATTAGACTCAAAAGTGGCTTGATCTTTTTTTTTTTTTAAGTTGTGGCTTACAAGATACTTACAGTAATGTTCATAAACCGAGACACTTGAATAGAGACCCAGATGACTGAACTATTCACCACAAATGTTTTAATTACAGCAGCTTCCTACAATCACAATGAGTTAATCTTAGACACAAACACAGTACATACAACTGTTATGCTGCTAACTTTACCTCACAAGTTGAAAAAGCTTAAAAAAAAAAAAATCAAGACAAACTCAGTCAAAATGCAAACAGGCATCATGAATACACGGAGTGTGCGACTACCTGCAGGAGATCGTAATGACAAGAACTGTGTGTTTTGACATTTCGGTCTTTTTTCACAGATTTTAAATGTTGTTTTGTTCAGTTTTTACAGACTACGGCACAAATGTAAATGCAGGAAACATTTTGAACTGTATGTTGACCGTTCAGATGAAAAGAAAACTATTACTACAAAAATGTGCTACAATATACAAGAATAAAAGAACACCTGACTGATTAAAGTACATCGGTTTACAGGGCACCTCATCCTCTAGACCAGTGGTTTTGGTGTCTCTCTTATCTTGGAGCAGGGGTGGCGAACGTCGGTCCTGGAGAGCCGCAGCCCTGCTGAGTTTTGCTTCAACCCTAATCAAACACACCTGAACAAGCTAATCAAGGTCTGAAGGGTTACTAGAAAGCTACAGGCAGGTGAGTTTTACTTAGGGTTGGAGCTGTACTCTGCAGGGCTGCGGCTCTCCAGGACCGGAGTTCGCCACCGCTGTCTTGGAGTCTTCACTAATGAGCTGATGATTTGAATCAGGTGTGTTTGAATAGGGAGACATCTAAAATGTGCAGTGTTGGGGGTTCTCCAGGATCAGGATTGGGAACCACTGCTCTAGACAATTTTACTGAAAGGTACACTAATGTATTGTAGAGATGTCTGGGTGAACTAAAACGCATGTAATCGTAAAACCATTTGTTTGTTTTTTTGGAGAATAAGTAGTATGGACAATATGAAGAGATTGAGCTCTCTTGCGTTGAAGTTCACAGATATAAATTGAGATGATTTAATTCGGCTACATGATCACACTGCATAGCAGTGCAAGCGCAAATGCACTTTAAACCACAGTGATGTCAGGATATTTGCATACAGTGTGATATACTAAAACAGCGCTGCCCAAACGTAGTCCTGGAGGGCCGGTGTCCTGCAGAGTTTAGCTCCAACTTGCCTCGACACACCTGCCAGGAAGCTTCCTAGTGAGTCCTTGATTAGCTGCGTCAGGTGTGTTTAATTAGGGTTGGAGCTAAACTCTGCAGGACTCCGGCCCTCCAGGACTGAGTTTGGGCACCCCTGTGCTAAAACATCTCAAAGAACTGAATATTGCTGCTACTATTAATCCTATAGATCCATTTTATGATAAACAAAGCTCAAAAAAGTGATGCGAGATAACAAACAGTCAAATATATTTAAATATCAAAAAAATGATAAGGTTTTTACCTCTAAATCAGTGGTTCCCAACCCTGGTCCTGGAGGCACACCAACACTGCACATTTTGCATGTCTCCTTAATCAAACACACCTGATTCAGGTCATCAGCTCATTAGTAGAGACTCCAAGATCTGAAACTGGTGTGTCAGAGAAAGGAGACATGCAAAATGTGCAGTGTTGGGGTGCCTCCAGGACCAGGGTTGGGAACCACTGCCTTTAAACATCATTTGATTTAAGAACATTTTATTACCATTCAGATTTTTTATTCTGATTTAGATTTAGTTAAATCATTCGCTTAGTTTAGTGCAAGCGAATTAGCCTGAAGTTGAACAGTCATTCCATGTACGCAGCTATAATCCTAAAAATATCACAGTAAACCACAACATTAAGACACTGAGACCACTGATTCAAAAAATAAATTAAAAAACGAAGATCAATTTAGTGGCATATAGAATCACATTATCTTTCATAAACCATTGCTGAAATGTTTAGGGAAACCACACTGAAAATCCACTTTTAAAGCTTAAATTAAAAAAACTAAAGCAAAAACTTCTCTGTATATTACTGGAACAACGAAGTCCCTCCTTCGTTCTGCCTGACATCAGCGATCAGAGGGAACAAGGCAGCTGAGGTTCAGTCCCAATGCAGTTTAGCATCTTTGTGCTTTTAGTGTGAACGTGTGTGTTAAAACCCGGTGGAGTGGACACTCGGGACGGGGTAGAACTTTGAGATCCGGCTCTGGGTGGAGGGGTTAAGGCATGCAGACTCCCCGCTCATTTTGAAGAACATTTCCTGTTCCTGTAGCTTACGCGCAAACTCTTCCTCAAGGGCCTGCACGCAGAGGTTTCAAGTTCTTAGTAAATGCACTAATTAAACCTTCTTAACATGATTGAAATGTTGAATAGTAAAGGTGCACTCAGTTATGTTTTGTTGGACTGACACCTAGTGGTGTGGATGAAGCATTACATAACATCTTTTCATAGTCCATCATTATAGATTAATTCTGTGTGTGAAAGTTTTGTAATAGGGCGTTTACCAAGAAAACAAAATGTATAATAATTCAACCATTCAGAACTGTGACTAAGGTTAAGCACTAGTGTTAATAACAGTAAGTGGTACCTTCTTGCGGGGCCTGAGTTTCTCTCTCCAGTCCTTGAGCTCTGCGCTGTGCTCCTCATCCAGCTCCTTCAGCTTCTGAGTCTCATGCTCGATCAACAGATGGCACTTCTCATTCTAAAACACACAGAAGACTCTATCACTTTTGCTTTTATAAAAACAATGTACGGTGTGTCTCTGCTATGTGTGTACCTGCAGCTGCTGTAGTTCTCCGACGTTGGCGTCGCACTGCATCTGCAGGTCTCTCATCTGAGTCTCATGTTTCTGGTGTTGATGGTGACGCTCGTTCTTTTGTCTCTTCTCCTCCTGTGCTGCAAACTGTTCATTGGCCACGCAAATATACAATATTTACTACACAAACAAAAACATACCGACTACAAGAAGAAAATAATCTGTGCAATACGTTTAAATTATTTAGGAATGCACTATATATAATATGGTCCAATATTAGATATTTCAATTGGAAACCGGCAATATTGGATATATAAAAGTGCTATCAAAACATTTTGCAATATTGACTGATATATATCCAATATCTACGGATACCAATTAATTAAAATCTCTAACAGTATCCGATAACACTATGGCAATATTACAAATTTTAATTAATCGGTACCCATTGGCTGGGTATATCAGCCAATATTGGGTATTTAATTAAGCATGTTTATTTCCCTTACAGCATAATAATTAAATAAAAAAAATAAAAAAATTAATTGATTGCGATTCGACAGAAGCTGCGATTGTCATGCGTATCTTTCAGTGAAGCACGGTTCTGTGATCAGCAGTAAATCTCCATCCACAGGCCAGAGGACGCTCTCGCGCTGAAACTCCAAATACGCCCCGCAGAAGAAACCCAGCTGATTACAGAACTGGCATTACTATCAAAATGCGCATGACAATCATATTCGATTAATCGTGCAGCCCTAGTAGAGCTAATTATCCTATTAAAGGAATAGGTCACCATAAAATCTACATAATACATAATTTATAATAACAGCTCCTCCAGTGAAAAAGCCCATTAAAATACACACTGACGTGTTTGTTTAAAACAGTTTTGGATAGTTTTTGCTTATAAACGGTGCTTGATCAGGTGCATATTTCTCTCCTGATTCAGACAAGGAGACTTTTTCACTGGAGAAAGCAATATTATCGATAAAGTACTTGTATTTTAGCGAAGGCTTGAATTCAAAAATGTCATAATAATGGATGTGTTATATGTAAACATGCAGCTTTTCGCTTCACAAGACTTTAATTGATGGACTGGAGTGGTGTGGATTACTGTGATGTTTTTATCAGCTGTTTGGACACTCATTCTGACGGCACCCATTCACTGCAGAGCATCCATTGGTAAACAAGTGATGCTACATTTCTCTAAATCTGTTCCGATGAAGAAACAAACTCATCTACATCTCGGATGGCCTGAGGGTGAGTATTTTCAGCGAATTGTAATTTTTAGGTGAACGATTCCTTTAATCCTTCAGTCTGAACCCGATATGACCTCTGACCTGTTTGACTCTCTCACGTTCCAGTTCCGGCGTGACCCCTGTGGTCGTGATGCGCAGACTCTTTTTGAACATGGCCATGCGTGTCTTTGCATCACTGCGCTGGATCTTAGGCAGTCTGGTCCTCTCCTGTGTCTGTTTGTTCTTCATCTCCTCTACCAGACGCTGGTTATACCTATGCATCTGCTCCATTTCCTGTACAGAAACACATTTAGAGTGAAAACAAATTCACACCAATAGCCGCTAGAAGAGCATAAGACTGATCTGGGAAGTAACCTTCTCGTGTCTTTTAAGCAGCTGGTGTCGTTGCATGAAGTACTGGTCTTTCAACTGCTGTTTGTGCAACTGGTGTTTTTCCTGTAGGTGGCGCTCTTCCAGCTCCCACATAGCGGCTTCTCGGGCTGCAAGAATCCGAAAGAACCGATTTTAGGCATCAAAACATAACATACAATATGAAAAATGGATATTCCTTTAAACAGTGGTTTATATTTTCTCTCTAATACCCAGGAAATAAAATATTTGAATAAATATAAAAGGCTGATGCCCAAAATACATCAAAGTCAACAAAAAACTGGTTTAGCCCATGTTTGCATAGAGAGGTGTGTAAAACAAATGTGCAAACCAGAACAAACAAATGCAATTTTAGTTCTATATATCACCTTCTGAACATCAGACACAATAGGCTTTGGGCATCTGAGATTTCGAGTAGGAATTACATTCGACTTTGTTTGAAATACAGTAGGAGCCTCTATAAAAAAACCTGAGGAGGTCATATGGAGCAGATGCCATGGTAATGCATTTAACAGCAGGATCAGATCAGACCAGACCAGACTGCTAAAGGCCACATGACAAGCATTACCCACTAAAGCCCTGTCTGAATAGTCCAAACTGCTAACGCTGCAGAAGCTGTAAATGAAGAGTTGGGAAGAATGGGAAGGAGACTAGTGCTAATATTGACCTCTGAGGAGCTGCTGCTTGTTGTTGAGACAGTCTCTCTCAATAGTGGCCAGCTCATGTTTGTGCTGCTGAATGATCTTCTTCAGAGCGCTGTCCAGATCCTGCTGCTGCTTCTGAAGAAACTCCTGCTCCTATAAACACACACACATACATAACTTTAAAAACAACAAAACACATTCATTTTGGAAGGATAGGCCGTATTTCTGAAAAAAAAAAAAAAAATGTGAGAACTAAAGCAAAACAGAAAAAGTTAAGTGAACCATTTTAGTCTTTAGGTTTTAGACCAATGGCTCGACTTTAACTGTTAATCACTATTCATTCCTCTAAACAGGCCTATATTTAAAATAAAAGCTGCTTTGTCATAAAAAAAAAATCTTGAAGAATATGGAGCTCATACACGAGGAAAAAAAAAATGACAGGCCCAAACTGAATTTTTTTTTTGCAATTTGGTGCTAATGTTGGTACTCATACACTGAACAAAATTATAAACGCAACACTTTTGTTTTTGCCCCCATTTTTCATGAGCTTAACTCAAAGATCTAAGACTTTTTCTATGTACACATAAGTCCTATTTCTCTCAAATATTGTTCACAAATCTGTCTAAATCCGTGTTAGTGAGCACTTCTCCTTTGCCGAGATAATCCATCCACCTCACAGGTGTGGCATATCAAGATGCTGATTAGACAGCATGATTATTGCACAGGTGTGCCTTAGGCTGGCCACAATAAAAGGCCACTCTAAAATGTGCAGTTTTATTGTATTGGGGGTACGGGGGGGTCCGAAACCCAGTCAGTATCTGGTGTGACCACCATTTGCCTCACGCAGTGCAACACATCTC